GGCACAGGCTCTGCTTAGGCTGGGAAAGGAGCCCAGGGAGGAGCTGCTCAGGTGTGGTGGTTTGGGCAAGGCCTTCCTTGGTGACCAGTTTGTAACCAAGGAAGGGCCCAGATTTACCCAGTATTCCCTACGATTTTTACGTAAGCCAGACTATAAGAAGAGAGGAGGAGAGGCCTTCGCTCTCTTTCCTTCCGGCGGCTTGGAGGTGCAGGTCCCCTGCTGTTGAGTCTGCCGGGTTGGGGAGCGAGGCCTGGTTGGGCCTTGCCGACCTTGGGAGACAGAGGTTGCCAGCGATCGTTCCGGAGCGACTCTCAGTTGTCCCAGGAGAGTAGTGAGCTATTTTTCTTTGCTAACTTTTTAGTTGTTAGATATTGGGTCACTAATTGGGATATCTATATATTTTATTTTAGTTTTGTTCCCTTTCCTTTCCCCCTTCCCTTTCCCTTGTGAAATTGTATATTTTAATTGTATATACGTGTAAATGTATTTATATATCTCACTGTGGTTGTTTCTCTCTCGTTTCGGGTTTTTCGTAGTTTTTTCTCCCTCTTCTCCCTGAGGTGGGGAGGGGGGGACTTCTGGTGATAAGGTTTGGAGACTCGGCAGGGAGCCAGCTTCAAACCATATCAGCACCCTTACATGTAATTTTCCACTGTTTTTCTAGTCTTTTCTTCACATTCACTGTCAAACATGGGAGAATGACCCAGACACACATAACCATTGCCATTTATATTAATTACAGTTTCACATTTGTTTATCTAGGTCTAATTACAACATGCTAATTAACGAGTCTTTTTCAATGAGAGCTAAATTATATTGTTTTCCACAAAAGAAAATGATGGTGCATAAGTGTTTTTCAGCCAAGAATTATGACACATAATCCTTCACAATATTCACTCAAAGTCTAGGGAACTATTGGCTGCAAGTATGCAGGCATGGATACACTATTAAAATATATGTGTTAAAATGTTTCATTTGAAACTTCTCACAGAATATATTCTGTGTTTCTGAGGTTTGAGATTCATGCTAGAATTACCTGTAGAAAAACTTCAAAAGAAACAATAGTTGTCAATCATGACATTAAATATCTCTAACAGACAAAATGTGCACCAAATTGAGCAGTTTTTAAAGATTACTTCAGTAATAAGCCAAGTGATACAGTTCATCAAAACTAACTAGATATTCTCACTTTCATTCTGATATTCCTTATGTATTACTCAAAGGTACTACTCAAGGTATTTTCCATGACAAGCACAGCACAGTGCTTTTCCCCATAACCTGATGAGTTGCACTGGATATGTTATTTATTAAGATATTGCTAAAGTGTAAATAAACTGTGCAAATTAGATAAACTGTTAGAATTAATAATAATTATCTGGCAACATATTCCTGCTGTCATTTTTTGCAGAAAATATGACACAACCTAGAACAAGGATGCAGAATAAGTAATGGAAACTATGCTATTAATTTCAAGCAAATATCATTACATGAATATAAGTGGTTTAGTAATGGCAAAATGACTGTTGCTATGAGACCACATGCAAAAGAAATTAAATTGATCCCCAGGTGTCTATTCTTGAATTGCATGGGAGAAAATTTTGAACCATGGAAATTTTGGGTGGAGAGTTCTATAAATCACAGGTCTTCCTGTGTCTTCCTGCCTCTGCCAGCTATTTCACTTTTGTCACTACCTGTATTACTACATTCAGCAATGGGGGCCCCAGCATAAAAAGGGTGTGAACCTGTTGAAGCAGGTCCAGGGAAAGGCCACAAAGATGATCTGAGGACTGGAGCATCTCTCCTGCTAAGTCAGGATGAGAGAGTTGTGGCTGTTCAGAGAAGAGAAGGCTCCAGGGAGACCTTACAGCAGCCTTCCAGTGCCTAAAGGGGACCTGCAAGAAGCTTGGAGAGGGACTTTTTACAAAGGCTTGGAGTGACAGGATGAGGGAGAATGGCTTCAAACCAAAAGAGGGAAGGTTTAGATTAGATACTAATAAATTCTTTGCTATAAGGATGGTGAGCAACATGTTGCCCAAAGAAGTTGTGGATTCCCCATTCCTGAAAATGTTCAAGGCCAGAGAAGCTTTGAGCACCCTGGTCTAGTGGGTGTCATCCCTGTCTATGGCATGGGGGTTGGACTAGATTATATTTAAGTTCCCTTCCATTCCTTTCCAAAACAAACCAGTCTATGGCTCTATGAATGCAGAAGGGGTTATGAGCAGGTAACCATGAAGGAAAGAAAAATCCAAACCTGGCAGAAATACTGGCTTTGCAGTCACAGAGGAACATGAAAAGCAGGCAATTAGGACAGTACAAATCATCAGTCCCTATAACAGCTGAGACAGAAGAGTAGCAACACTAACACTGGAGTTAGTTTTCCCTACTCCAGTCTCAGTGTAGCCACTGGAAAAGGTCCTTTCCGATTGCCAAGGTTTAACACCCATTTCACAGTTAAACACTTGCCTGTTTTGGCAAACTGTAGCTGTAACAATTAAATTTATAGCTGTAACAGTTAATTTATAAAGCTCTCTTCTTCTGCTATAGCAGCTAGAGAATTCCAAGAGCAGGATCCTTTTCAGCAGTATTATCATCTAACACTAGAAGAGCAGTTTTGTAAGCAGAATAAATATCCCAATGTTCATCATCTGCTAGGAATGCTTTCCAAGCACTGTTCACACCAAAAGGGAATCACATTTGATATCCCTTTTAATGAAGCAAGCACATGATACTGAACATATGAAAATATTTATGAATGAGACAGTCTTTTGGCAGTCAGCCTGAGCTACCATCTGTTCTTATAACAGCAGTGGAATAAAGTTTATATTATACTCTACTCAATAAAATTTAAGCAGAGATAGATAGTATTCTGCTAGTGTTGTTTATTGGAAAGATCTGAAATCTGCATGTAACTGAAGAATATTGATGTATTTTTCTACTTTCCTAAAGTTTGAGTATATGCATTCTAACTACAAAGGAGCCAGTCATTTGAGCAAGGATAATCAGTTTTGAAAACTAGACTATAAACAATATCACATGATTATAGAGTGTTCATTTCTGAAAATATCTCTTACCATTTTGCTGTCAATAATAAGATATTTTTCTGTGAAACTCATTGCTAGTATCAGTATTGTAAGGCTATCAGTTGATATATCCAAGAAGAACAGTGATACTCAATGAAGTATTGAACACATGATATTAAATTAACTACTCATGAAATTATGTGAACTCTGAGCTTCTATGTCTTTAAAAAGAAATAGAAATGACAGATCACGAATCTTCTTCCTATTTGGCTCCCTCTGCATGCAATAGCATAGGCCAAACTGTTGTGTAATCAAGTATTGTTTAACTCATTATTTGTAGTCACTATACCAAATCTGAGAGCTGGATAATCAGAATAACCTGCAAATATTATAGGCCAGCTGAAGGGCTTCTCTAAATATGTCCTCCAATTTCAAGTGGGATTCAGACTTTGTTTTAAACTCTCATATCACAATAACGGTGGGATATCCTAAAGCAAGAGGTTTTATTTCAAAGCAGTTACTTCTTAGTCTTCCTTACCAGCAAAAAAGTAAGCATTATCTTGAACTACAATACTTTACAAAAGGCTTAAGAACTCACTAAATCTAGCAAAAGGAATATCTATTAGACCTGAATATGTACTTTACACTTGCATTGTTTTGATTAGGAGCAGAGACTTTTAAGAGATATATATCCAGGGTGACCCAGTTGCATTCCCATCCCAGAATTTTACCTCCAAGCCAGTATCCTGTGCAGAGGTGTTGGCACAAGCCCAAAATGGAGAGGATCTTGTTCTCTTCTCCCACACTAAGAGAGACAGGGACAGCATTCTTTTTTTGCTACCCCAGGACTCCAGTATTGCTATATTGAATTCAAAGACACATGCACAACACTAACTCTGCAGTATAAGTTTGTCTGTAAACCCAATAGCTTCTATTGAAGCTTAATGATACATCTCCCAGCATTTTCATGACACACAGATTTCAGTGAAATTTCCTTTGTCCTACAGTATGGAAACCTATTATTTAGTCTGAAGCCTGCCCTAGACAAAGATTCACAACCCAATTGCACCTCCAACTCCCTCTTTCAGCTATTATCCCAGCTGACAGAGTGGACAATCTTTTCTGCATCTGTGTCCACAAGCTAGAACATAACTCCTCCTTGATGGTCTCTTCTATTCTACCTTTTTTTTTTTTTTAACACATAACAAGTGCTTCCCTAAGCCCTTCCAGCAACATCCAAGCAAAAATGTTCAGGTTGAACTCAGCCCTGACATACCCAAATCTGAGCTTTTAATGACTTGAAGTCTCCTGATTCTCTCTTATTTCAGGACACCAATCCACCACACCCATTTTCTGAGGCCACCTGCTTGGTAGCTTTGGCCCAGTGCTTCTTTTCATTTGGCTGTTTCAGCAGTGTGATGGTTTCTCTTTCACCTCTGTTGACATTGTCCTAGTTAGAACAGCTGGGACCAGTTCATCACTGGGTGTAACCCAAAGCTGTGTATTCTATAGCTTTCCATGCCATTTACCAGAAACTGTTATCAATGGACCATTTACACCCTCTGCCCAGAGCAGCCCTGACTCCTCAGGCTATAAACTGGGTGTTAAGAGGCCCATGAGACAGGAGAGTGCTCCTGTCCTCACACCCACTGTGGAACTCCCCGCCCTGAGGGAGGTGCTGGGCATTCCTGTCTGAACCAGAGGATATATAATCTTGGAGCCTTGGGACTTTTTGAACCACTCATGGGATCCAGAGAAGGACTGTGACCACCACTCTCAACCAGACTGAGACCACCACTCTTGACCAGACTGCACCAGCACCCTCACCAACAGATTTTCCCCTCTCCTTTTCCTTTGGACTCAGGGGGCCCAACGAACACCACTCTGTTCATGCCCCAGGGTGCTGGGTTATACATTTGGGTTTTGTGGGTTAAAACCAATTGTTTGTCTGCATAATCGTACTTATTGTATTATTTTATTAAATTGTTATTCTGATTTACAATCTCTGTTTTGAGTTGGGTTTACCTTTAAACCAGTACACGTGCACTCAGTGCATCACCTGCCCATCACCCCGTGTAGCCACAGAAAATGCCTGAGCATCTTTAATCCCTTCAGCTTCAAACTAATGTTTCCACCCTTCTATTACCTGAGGAAAAAACAATGTCTGTCTGCAAGGAGGTGGTCCAAGTGGCTGGAGAAAAACAGTCATTACTGGACAGTATTAAATGAAAAGGTGAGAAAGTCCTGCTGCACAAGACACCTGGAATAGGGATACAACTCTTAGTGTGCCTTAGCAGTCAATTTAAACCAAATAAAGTGAGTTTACCTTAGTTTTTAGTGTCACCAGGAAGGCAG